AGTCACTTTTCCCATGAGGTTATGCAATTTATCCTGTTTTTGAATCATAGAATGATAGGTCTAAAGACATGCTGAACATAATGGGTCTGTGAAATCCTGGGAGACACAATATTCCAACACAGACCAGGAACTTGAGCATGCTGGCCAGAGTAGGCATCCCACACCTGAGGAGTTGCAGAGAAATAAGTCAACATTTCTTCTTCAAAATAATATGGAATCTAGAATAACTTTCAAGACCTTACTAAATTTGTCTTCAGATTCCAAAATGAGTTGGTTACTAAATTTCAGAAGAACCTTTGCTGTCAGGGCTCTAAGAAGATGTCTAACTTTCTCCATGACCCTCACCTCCTTTATGAAGCTATTTCTGAGTACCTCTCTCCCACACCGTGAGAAACAGCCAGCTTCCTTCTTGACCCTGCCTGCCCCATAGCCTGCTAGTAACCTTGCAATTTGCTCTTAGCTGTCCTCCCTATCCACTCTCTGTCCTCACTCTCAGCCCATCGCTGGGGCTCTTGGCAAATTCTCCTTTGTCTTAGATTGGCTCTGCATCTCTCTCTTCTACAGGAGTCCTCCCTTCCCTGCAGCTTTGCTGTCCGCGGTTTCGGTTACCTGCGCTCAACCACAATCGGAAAATATTCATGGAAAATTCCAGAAATAAACAGTTCATAAATTCTCAGCAGTGTGATACAATTCTGCCCCATCCTGTTTCTCCCACACGGGGCAGGAGTGGTCCTTTATCCACGGTGCACTGCCTGTACATTCTGTCTCTCCTTGGTGGGTGAAAGAGACACCACGGTCATATGTCTCTTACTAGGGTATATTTTTATAATTGTTCTACTTTACTATTAGTTGTTGGTAACGTGTGTGTGTGTGTGTGTGATATCAGGGATTGAACTCGAGGTTTTGCACTGACCTACATCCCCAGGCTTTCTTTGTTTTATTACTTCGTATTTTGACATAGGGTATCTCTAAATCACTAGGTTGCTGAAGCTGGGCTCAAACTTGCAGCCCTTCTGACTAAGCCTCCCAAAGTGCTGAGAGACATGCACCATCATGCCTGGCCATTGTTAACTTATTGTGCTTGATTCATAAATAAAATTGTACCACAGGTATGTGCATACAGGAAAAAACACAATAGACATAGGGGTCAGTACCCTTCAAGGTTTCAGAAATTCACTGAGAAACCTGGATCACATCCCTCCCAGGACAGGGGGGACTGCTACACCCGTAGCTCTAACAGAAACTTTGAGAGTCCCCAGATACCACATTGGTACCCCACTGCCTTTTCTGGCAAGGGTTTCAATTTCTGTTCTTGGTCACTCAAAGATTACACTAACACTTTTGCTGCCTAATAATACTTCCAGTTCATGGAATGATTATATCTGTTAATTTTTCATCGTTTAACAAACTAGCACTTTGCTCAACTATCTTCGACCTTTTCCTCTGTAACTCTAGCAATACAGAGCTTTTTTAGATGACTTAAACTCCCAGATCATGTTTTTCCTATCCAATATATGCTTCACTATTTTCAACCAGACATGAATATATTTAAAGACCTTTTAATGTATTCTGATTTGGAAACATCCGTTCACTTCTAGGCCTCAGTGTTTCACCTATGAAGTGATAGATTCCTTGAGATGGCTCCATTACGCACAAAGTTCGATTCTGATTTGGTAGGAGAAAAGATACAGCAAGAATCAATAATCTGATTGTGACATCTTGGAAGATGATTTCAGTACTTCCTGACTTTCGGTCCTAAAGTTCAGATATTCAGATAAAGGAGCAGTTCCTGCTATCTGTGGAAGGCAAACTGAACTCCACAGAGGAAAAAGGTTTTGAACTTTGTGTTAAAGGACACACAGGCTTCAGAGCCCCTAGCAATGAGAGAGGCATTTCTGGCAGGGAGACCATCTCCGTCAAAGGCAGGAAGGAAAGGGTGTAAAGGTTTTCTTCATTGATCAGGGGGTGGACCAGCTTGGATGTGCTTGGGAAAGAGGTAAGACAGGGATCTGATGAAAAGGCACTGTGACCAAACCAATGCTTGCCTCCTAATGACGGTCCCACTGGTGCTGTTAAAGGGAAGGGTTCACATAGCCGATCTGCTAGAAGATAAAGAAGAAAGCCAGCCTCAGGCATAACTGTTACTTCACATGCTGCATTCTTTCATGCTGATCAAGGCAAAACCATGGCGGCTGGCTGCTCCAAGTGCCCAGTGTGGCTCTGAGGGAGGAAAAGACTTCTCCTCGTCTCAATTAGACAAACAGAAATCCAAAGGAAGAAAGAACCCCAGGGGTTGAGCTGGCTTCCTTCGTTCACCCCGGTAGCTATAGACAGATACCGTAATCCACAGTGCCCATTAAAGCCCCAGGGGTCAAGGGGGATGACAGACAATTCATCAGAATAGAGGGATGTGTTTACCAGAACAGACTCCGGGAGAAGGCAGGGATAGACCAAGTGATAGCTCTCCACTATAGATAAATTGAGATCTCAGATGTTGAATTTATCACAGAAGTGCTGGGAAGCCTTTCATTTCTCCTAATCAGGGGAGAAGATGATGTAAACAAACACAGGAGACTGAATGAGGAATGGGCTAGTAGGAAGAGGCAGAAGTGCTTTAGCATGATTTCTCACATGCAGTGGGAAGACAAATCCATGGTGAGCTGAAGGTAGGAAAATGAGATTGTTCAGTGGGCCAGGTAGGGTAGCTAAGAATTAGTGTTTGTGTGGAAATACGAGAGGGTGTAAAGAAAGACTGAATAGTTGATGATGATTAACTTAACTGAGCAGAAGGCAATGAAATAATAATTAGCTTTTGTTAAACCTTTACAACAGCTACCCTAGGACCAACTTGCATTTTATCTGCCTGTCCTAAGGGTCAGCCACTCCTTGAAGAAGCCCTGCAGCCTTGTAGTGAGGGTTATCATTTAGAAACCAGGATCTGGAGGCTAAGTGCCCTTTTTGCTACAAAGAAGAGAGCTCACACTCCTATGTCCCATTCAAATCCAACACCATGAAGTACTCCCTTGCTTTTCCTTATTCATGTTTGTGTCTCACAATACTTCAATGTTTCTAAAAGGTGTACAAAGTCATTCATTTTGCTGTGTCTTCAATATAGAAGGAAATTGTTTCACAATTATTATTCCAACACCAATACTAACAAAACTACTGGCCAAGTTCAAAATTTCTATGTGGTACATATTGTCTCCAGAACATTTTCCAGTAAAAGTGCAGAGCACTGCATGGATGCTTGATCTAATTTGCCACATAAACCTGGGCAAAGTGGCAGATTCAGATTGTGAGACTCTCTGGAAATAGGGGGCCTTGGGCGCCTCAAAAATATCAAGTCATGGAAGCCAAAAAGCTGAGTGGAATTGCTCTACGTTAACGAAAACTAGAGACATAAAAACCCAATAAAATGCAAAATATTGATTGAGTTCTCAAGAAACTGTGAGGACTTTTCATATGCCAATTGAAGAGATTTAAATATACACATATTTTGATGATATAATTCAATCGCTATCAATTAAGTTTGTTGGGCATACAGGGATGGAGGAAGGGAAAAGGGGAAATTAAAAAGATAAGATGTTATTGTAGATAGGTATTAATTAGATATCTTGTAGGCAGTTAGACAGGGCCAGCTGGGCTGGGGATTTAGCTCAGTGGCTCTGCGCCTGCCTCACAAGTGCAAGATCCTGAGTTCAATCCCCGGTACCAAAAAAAAGAAAAAAAATAGACAGGGCCACCCTCAAGGAGCCAACATGGAGAGGAGGCAACCTGGAGAACAATTGAGGCATATTCACTGGTTAGTATTATAAAAAGGAAAGAAGCACTGCTTCCCCTAGAGATGAATAGCAGTGATATTCTAAACGGGAAATTCCTTGTATGTGACTTGTTTTCCCATTTGATACCCATTTAATCAATATTACCTGGGTGACAGTACTTGTAATCTTATTGGTTGGTCATGGTTTTGCCCCACCTTATGCCCACCTTGTCATTCCCATTGGGTCTTATAGCTTTGTCCCGCTTTGAACCTGCCTCACCCCATGGCTTTGCTCCATAAAAACCCCCTGGGAAACAGGGGTCCTGGTCAACCCACTCTACCAGTCCCCAGGTAGAGTTTCAGGGGCAGGAGCATCCAGTTCTGGGCAGCCTTGGGAAGTGGGTTCTGACCCTCAGCCCTCTCTCCGTCACCCAGGCAGGAGGAGATGTGCAGACCCTTCAAGACTTCTGGTCCTCACAGTGCTCTGGGATGGAGCAGTTTCTGGGAGAAATAGGTTGCCTCTTTCTGCCTTTCCTAGGTTATTACACAAAGCCTAAGTTATCCAAGCATCCTCAGGTTTTTCACATCTCAAAAAGTAATAGGATCATGGACACCACTCCTCAGAAGATTCTGGAAAGATACGTCAAGGGTTGGCAGGCATGGTATACCCACATGGGCATATAAGCGTTAGCGCGGTTGCTAGAATTCAGGTTTTCTGGGTCAAACTTCAGTGTTTATTCCTTCAGAATCTGAAGAATCACTGCTTTGTGCACTGTGAAATTATGTTGAGGCCACCAACTTTGAAACCTGGTTCACATGTCCTCCTTGCCACTGGCCTCAGAATTGTGTAAACATTCCAATAATTTCCGAAATAATTATTGACTAATGTGTAAATAGCCTGTGCTAGACACTTTTATGGGATAAAAAACCAAAACAAAACAAAATAAACACACAGGGCTCAGTGTTTGCTCTCAAGGGTTGGGCGATTTGGATTTTAAAAGGAAAGAATTATGTAAAAGTCTCAGAAACCTAGAGGTAGACTAAGAATAATAGGTCTCATAGCATGTGTCAAACACAGAACTAAGCGCTTTACTCATCGGATTCACTCCTTGCAGCAACTCTCCCAGGCAATGTGATTATTCACCAGATGACAGAGGAAAATATTGACTAACTTGCTCAAGGTCGTAGTGAGCTAATGACCAAGCTGGGATTCAATGCCCATCTGACAGATGTCAAAGTCCTGGAGAGTCTCACTGCACCTTTCTGACTCACTGAACTCACACAGGGCCCTGTTGTGGTGGGGACTGACACGGAAGTGCCCAGGAAGTGAGGAAGTTGGACTTCCGGGAAGGGCAGGATTAGAGAGGTGAGCTGTGGAGTTGGAACTGGGAGGAAATGGTGGGCATGGATTGGCGCAGATGGGGTTTGGTGAGAAGGGTACAGATGGGCTGGAGAAACATGAGTGTGGTGGACGGATGATGAGCACTGCATCACGCAAGCTCCTCTCAGAGGCCAGATGTCTTACTTGGCTGGAGAGCCATAGGATAGTGTGCTATGTTATTGGAGCTGGGTTTATGGCTGTGTCTCTGCTCCAAAGGGGAATTTGTTGCTTTAGCCAGGTGCTCTGGCTTCCTGAGTGCAGGTATTCCTTGGGTTGCATGAAAAGCAAGGTTTTTCAATATCTGTGGGAGGAGAACTTGGGGCCCCTGGTCAGGCGAACAATCCCTTTGCATAGGGAGTGTGGAGGAGCTTCAGGTCCTCTTAGGGGTGTCATGCATGCTTGTTTCCCAACTCAGGGCTTTGCACAAGTTCTTGAAAAAGTAATTCAAATTTTGATCAACCAAAATCATGACCCACAGTTTTTACCTCATTGGTGTAGTTTGAAAAAAATCAATAAATTTTACCATAAAATCGGTTTTCTATTTTTTTTTTAATCAGATGCTCATCAACACGAAATCTACAATTCCCTTATGATTGGCTATGTGGATGTAGGGCCTATTGCATTCCAGGTAGAGTTTTTAGAGGATGGACTTCCTTAATTCTTGCAATGGCATCATGAAGTAAGAATGATGGCGGTACCCATTTTGTGTGTGTGTGTGTGTGTGTGTGTGTGTGTGTGTGTGTGTGTGTGTGTGTGTGTCTGTGTGTGGTTTGAGACCGGGATCTCATTCAGGCTGGCCTTGAATTTACTATGTATCTCAGGCTGGTCTCAAACTCATGACAACCCTCCTGCCTCAGCCTCCTGAGTACTGGGATTATAGGTGGGTACCACCACGCCCATCTGTATCCATTTTTAATATTAGAAAACTCCAGCAGGGGGAGGATTTAAAACCAGGATTTGAAACCAGATGTTACAGCTTTGAAAGTCCACCCATTAACCAAGAATACTGCCTTGCATGACAGTTTGTACCTGGAGCTGATCCGCTATTTTGTATATGGCTATTTAAAAATTGGCCAAGAATTTTCACTACTCCTCTTATGGAGAGATAGAGGTTTACATTCCCATCACATAGATGAAGTCTAAGGAGAAACTTTAGTTATTGTGCTATAAACGTGTCTTAGAGATGTCCCAAGAAAGTCATAGAGAGAACAAAGAAACATACAGTTTATTTTTTCATTGATTCACTCATACATTCTTTAGTCATTCAACAAATATTGAGTATTTACTCAGGAAATTAAGCATTTACTCAGCCAGGCCCTGGGTAATAGACACGTGAGGCACAGTCTTTTCCCTCTAAAGGTGCACACAGTGAGATTCTCTATGGAGCTTCTGCCTTTGAAAGCTGTTGCTAAAGAGAAGGACTGAACAACTCCTGCTGCTGCTGCTACTGCTACTGGTATGACCATCACTACTAACAGCAGCAATAATCTATGGTCATGGCAACCAAATAGCCCTTTACAGTTTACCAAAAACTTCATAATATATTATCTCATTTGGTTTCCAAAATAACTGAGAAGGAGGAGGACAAGTCTTTTCTCAATTTTGCACATGAAGAAATGGAAGAGCAGAGTTTAAGCCCCAAGTCTGGCTCTCGAAGTGGTAGGGTTGGAGTCAGAGCAAGGCTTCATGGACCCCACTTCCTGTCTTACTTCTAGGTTTTGGATGCTGATATGCAAAGGGAGCGACAATGAGCAGACTTTAAGAAGCCTCCTTGGGTATCTAGCGTCCAGCCGCTCTTGTCTGGTTCAGGGAGCCAGTGCCGGTGTCAGTCTGTGACGCTGACTGCAGAAGATACAGCCACACTTGGCCCCAGGCGAAAACTGCATCACCTGGAGACCTGGCCCCTCTGAGCCACTCCCAGTCACCAGAGGGACTCGGCTCTGACCATGGATGACGGCTGGATGGTAGGACTTGGGCTTTGGCACAGTTCTGACCAAAGGGTAAGCACTGTGCTTTTGGAGAGAATGGACCTCTGGCGGGGACCCAGGACCAACACCCGGCCTCCTGTAGGGCCATGACTAAGCCAGCTTTCTTTCATTCCATCACCCGAAGGTCCTGGATGAGTGTGTTGGAATCCGCCCACCGAGCTTCTCCTCCTCTTCCTTCTCCTTAGAGTGTGGCATTTGGAACTGGACACTCAGGCCAAGCTGTCACCTGACGGCTGGCATCAGAATTAGTGGGGACTGAACTGCAGCCGGAGACCCCGTGCAAAGCAGGCAGGGTACAAAAACCTAGTGTCCTTGAGGACACAGCAGGATTCAAATGAGGAAGGGTATAAACCAAAGACATTCCACTCAGAAAAGAAATAAAGGGGATGATAAATTCCCAAAATGGTTCTCAGCCTCACTCCCACAAAAATTCAAACAATAAAGCACTTTTTAAATCTTGGTGAAGTTTGGTAACACCAATCTTTAAGATAGTGTAGAGACAGCACTCCTTCCCTGTCAGTGGACCACAAGTGAAAACATCCTTTCTATAGAGCTTTTCGGAATCATCCGTGATGCATGTACACTTTGGCCCAGTGGTTGTGTTTTGGGGAGTTTTTCAGATAGGTGGAGTCACACAAATGCACAAGATATCAGGCAAGGAAGTACATTGCAACATTTTTCTTACAATAGCAAAAAACTGGAAGAATTTTGATGCCCATGAATAGGGAATATCAGGCAAACATTTTTAAAGATGTACAAACTATCCTTAGCAAAAGAGTGAATGGTTGAATAGCAGATATAGTATGAGCTTTTTGTATAAAACAACAAATGCATACATGCATTTGCGCATCTGTGTGTGTGTCTTCATGCTCTGTATGCTTCTGCAGGGATGCAAAGGTCTAAAACATACATATATAATAATAATAGTTGCTAATAATAGTGAGACTTAGAGTGGGAATACTGGTGTGGGAAAGAGTTTTAAATTTTTACTTTATCACTTATATACAACTTGAATATTTTTTAAATGAATATTATTTCTTTTATAATTCAAATAAGGTTCAAGTAAATAATAAGGAAGTTAAATAAATAAGAATAACCGATACTAGGAAGTGGTGTCAATATTCTCTCCAAAGCATCAAAGGCACTAACAATAATCTCAATAATAATAGCACACACTTAGATAGCCTTCCTTTGTGCTAAACAATGTTTTAAGCATTGTACATTAACTTTTAAATACGTTTTACACATTAACTCTCTAATACACATTAACTGTTTCATATGTTTTATGCATTAACTCTTTAATATGTTTCAAGCATGATACATTGACTCTTTAATACATAAAATAATCCTGGAGGTGGTTACTGTACATATTACCATGTCAGTAATAAGGAACTGAGACACACAGGGGTTAACTTACCCCAAGACACACAGCTGGGAGGCAGGGCAGCAGGGAGGAGGAGGAGCCTGTGGGTTGCAGCCCTGCCCTCCTCCCACCTCCTTCTCTAGGTAAGATGGAAAACCACAGTTTGGAGTGGAGTTGAGAACTGATCTGGGACTGGCAACTGAGAGCCAGAGAACTGCTATCTCAGTCTTGAAGGCATTAACTAAGCTCTGGTTCCTGATGGTTAGATGAGATGAACTGCCTCAAAAAGCCAGACAATATTTCTCCTGGCGTGAGTTTGGCTAACTTGATTACTGTGTCAGCTAAAAGTTAGAGGGAGCTGTATAATAGGAATCTGATAAAATAATTGCTAAGTTTGAGAAAGGGTTTTTGGCCATGTAAAAGAAATCCAGAGACAGTGCAGAGCTCACGTGGTGACTGCATGTAATCGGGACCCAGCACCCCTCTGGCTGCACACCTGCCACCCCTGTCTGAGGCCCAAGGAAGTCTGGCTGCAACAGCCGTGGCAGCTTCAGCCGTGGAAGCCTAGGGGGTAAAAACATGGACAAGAGTGGCTGGATGCTAGATACCCAAGGAGGCTTCTTAAAGGCTGCTCACTGTCGCTCCCTTTGCATATCAGCATCCAAAACCTAGTCATTTACTCACAGCAATGGAAAATGGAAAATCATGGTGAGGAAGTTGGGAAAATCACTCTTTCATCCAGACAGTCATTTACCTGGGTAACAATTCAGGGTTCTGTTACTGAGGACAAAAGAGAGAATGGATTTCAGAGTGGTTCTGCCAAAATACTATCAGTTCCTGTGTGTTAAGAAGGACAGAGTTCCCATCCACTAGGTTGGAAATAGTGAAGGTGATTTTTTTCAGCTGTGTCTAGATGCCCCCCAAAGCCCTGTGCAGTCAGAGGTGGGGCTTTTTCGGAGGTGGCTGGATCTAGAGTGTGTGACACTGGGATTGATTCAGGGTGCAATGCTAGGAGTAAGGGCACTGGGATTACGGGTGTGAGCGCTGCCTGCCCTAAATAGCCTGGAAAAGATAGAAGGGTCAGAGAGAGCTGTGGTTGGCCCTTGCTTACTTGGGTACTTCTGCCCACCATGAACTGTTTCTCCACTGTGACGCCCCCTGCCTGGGAGCCAGCTGATTATGGGCTGAAACCTCTGCACACTGTGGGTTAAATAAACCTCTCCTCCTTTACCTTTGGGTGTCAGGGATATTGTCTCAGCAACGAGAAGAGTAACTAACACAGTCATTCTACTTCTGACCTCGACCTAAGTGGATGGTGAGGGGCATTTTGAGTTCTGTGGGTGCCTGAGGGTGCAGGGCAGTAAGCAGATACTGAGTGGGCATAAAGGACCCTAAGAAAGGATGAAAGTGGTCAGGAAGGAACCACCCTCTTCATAATGTTTACCAGGGTCAGACTTGAACTTTGCCATTTTACCTTAGTAGCCCTTTCATGCTAGAAGGCTGCTGCATCACAATTTCTACAGGATGCTTCAGCGTCGGACATTTGGAAACCAGGAGGACTATTTCGGCACTTACCCAGCACTTCCATGTAGTGAGGAACTGAAGGGTAATTTTCTGAAGTCTTTATTTTATTACCAGTTTCTCCACCTGGACTGACACAGGACTGGATTTCACACCTCAGAGTTACAGGAGAGAATAATGAGGGAAACACAAAGTGGAAACCAACCCAAGTTCAAGGCTGAAGGATTGAGCAGTAGAGTCCTGCCAAAAATGTCTGCACTTGTGCACGGCAGACAGAAGGTTCTGGCTTCTAATTGGCATCCCTGAGACTAACTTAACATCCTGACTTTCAGCTAAGGGGCAGTGTGGGAGGGTGAGAAATTATTTTCCACCTTAGAAAATGTCAACAAAAATCTAACAACTAACCTTCGATAAAAAGAACATAAGATCAACAAAGATCCCAGCCCTCACATAGGAGGGAGAAATTGGAAAGCAAGAGGGTGAATCAGCCAGGAACTTGGGCAGGACAGGACTGAAGCTGGGGTCAGCTGTGTGGCCAGGGCCCAAGGCAACCCGGCACCTGCCAGTGTGTAGCTTGTCCTAGTGTAGCTGCCTGTGGCTCCTGACAGTTCCAAATCATTGAAAACATCAGAAGAAAAACAGTGTTTCATGACCTAGGAAAATTTTATGAAATTCCACTGTTTATGGATAAAGCATTATTAGAAGATGCTGTGTGTGATGCTCAGTATGTACCACAACTCTCTGTGCTACTGCAGCACAGTTCATGGACTGCACAGCCCCAGATGTTTATCTGGCCCTTTACAAAAAGTTTGCCAAAGCCTCCACCTTTATTACTTAAAAGTCATATGTGCTTAAGAAATAAAAAATTGAGTCTCGATTGCTTACTGTTCAGGGCCGAGCAGTACTGATGCCCTTCCTGGACATGCACTACTCCCTGGGCCCCAGAGTCCGGGAGGTGCCAGCCCGTGGGACTTGCCTGCACCACACTATGGGTCGGTTCAGGGACCGGAGACGCAGCTGGCGGCCGAGCTTCTTTCAGCCCTCGGGGTGGCAAGGGGCCCTGTTTGTCTCAGTCCTCCTTACTCCCATGTTATCGGTGGCCATGGCCAGGGGGCCTGGCCTCGACCTTGATCCTCGAGGCCTGGGTATTTTTGTTTCTGGTGGCATCACTGAGCCCGGCATGAAGTGTGGGAGTTTCGCATGCACCCCAGCTGGACCCCAAAATCAGGCACACCTTCCACGGCTCCCTGGTGCTTAGTTTGTGCCAGCCTCCCGGGCACAGCATTGGCGGGTCGCTTTCCCACCTTCCTCTGTCAGATAAATCAGTTCCCTCAGGGAGTGGGGGACAGGAATGGAGCTCAGTGGGGTGACCTCTGCGTGGGAGGGCAGCCCCCCAGCTGCTGAGCACCCCTCTAGAGGCCAGTAAAGGGCGCTGCGGGGAGGCTCTCCACCTGTCACCTCTCTTCCTGCTTGGAAGTGGTCACACTGGCCGGGTGCCCCCTGGTCGTGCCCTTAGGAGGTCACCCGAGCCATACAGTTGATGGGAACGTGAGGAGGCCTTCTTGTTCTGTTCTTCTCCCAACATCGATCTGTTCAAATGCCAAAGGTTTGCCAACATAAATGGATGTGTACACACACCACACACACACACACACACACACACAAATATACACGCACACATGTAAAACAGAATTTCCATCCGTATCACACATACACACGCTTACATATACACACGTAAAGAGGAACTTCCGTCACACACACATTGTGCATGCAGATAGTCCTCAACCTCCGTGGTTTGGCTTACACTTTTTTTTTTTTTCTTTTTGGTACTGGGGATTGAACTTGGGTCCTTGTGCTTTTGAGGCAAATGACAGAACTACTGAGCTAAATTCCCGGCCCTGGTGTACACTTTTTTGACTTTACAGTAATGCAAATGCAGTGTGTGTTGAGTAGGTGACGCATGGGATTCTGCCCTTCCTCCGGGCTCCCAGCCTGTGGTGAGAGATTCTTCTGAAGCGGGTGGGGTGAGTCACAGCTCAGAGTCGCCATGTGACCGTGGGGAAACAGCGGTGCTCTGTCCTGTGCTGCCAAGCTGTGACACACAGGGTGTTCATTACGTTAAACTCATTCTCAGCCTGTAGAATCTTTAATTTCACAGTGGGCTTCGGGAGCCATCACCCTGTCCTAAGACAAGGAGCGTCTGTACATCTGTATATTCTTCAAAGTTTCTTTTACATTTTTACTTACTGCAAGGGAAGGAAAGGTTAATTTGGGAGCTCAGAACGGCCTCCTCACCACGCAACGTCTGGACAGAGTGAATTCGGTGTAATAATCAGGGCAGGGCCACAGGACACACAGCACAAGCACAGATTGTCCCGTGTCCCCTGTGTCCTCTGCACAGAAGCAGGACACAGCCAGGTGCGCTCTGGTCATTCCAGGTAGCGGGTCCTGGGGGTGGCCAGCTCCGAGGGGCCGGAGGAAGCAGGGAGGAAGACTGGTCTGAGGAGCACTTCAGTTACCCATCCAGGCCACATGGGTGGGACAGTTGCAAAATGAAGACCCCCATCTCTGCTCAGAACGC